TATAATAATTTTTTAGTTAGAGTACGCCAATTTACACCAAATATAATTTCATTGAAAATATTGTATATCATATTATATGCCTTTCTCCATTTGTGCATTGGAAATTTCGTACAGCTCACATTTTTTCAAATTTTTTGAACTTTTGTGGTGGAGGAATTCAAAAGAGTGGACCGACCGATGGAAAATGGAAGATTTCTACAATTGCATCAATATAGCCAACAATATTAAGATGTGCAAAATCTCAATAAAATCGGATAATTCTTTTTTACTTTGAGATAATTATTATACCCTCCAGCATAGTATGGAGGGTATATTAAGTTTGTCATTCCATTTGTAACACCTCGAAATATACATTTTAGACCCCACAAAGTATATATATTCTTGATCAGCATAAAATTTTATGTCGATTTGGCACTGTCCGTCGGTCTGACCGTTTATCCGTCTGTGGAAATCACTCTAGCTTCCGAACGAAATGAAGTAGGTTTATACAATTTTACTCAAAGGTGTATTATCTCTGCAGGACTTTTGGTATTGAAAATGGACCATGTAGGTCCACGTCTTCGTATAGCCCCCATATAACGGCACCTCTCGATATTCGGTATTTTGATTATTTTAGCGACATGATTCACCGGAATTGTGTAAAATTTGTTATTTGAAGTTCGTAAGAGATACTACAGCCTAATACAGAAAATGAACCATGTAGGTCCACGTCTTCGTATAAATATATAACGGGACCTCTCGATATTCGGTATTTTGATTATTTTAGCGACATGATTCACCGGAATTGTGTAAAATTTGTTATTTGAAGTTCGTAAGAGATACTACAGTCTAATACAGAAAATGAGCCATGTAGGTCCACGTCTTCGTATAGCCCCCATATAACGTTAACTCCCGATAATCGGTATTTTGATGATTTTGGAGACATCATGCACCGGATTTTTTTTTTCAAATTTCGCATTTGAAGTTTGCGATGGATACTACAGCCTCTGCCAGAAAATTGTCTGTGCAGGTCCACGTCTTCGTATAGCCCCCATACACGGGTATCCCCCGATATTCAGTATTTTGATGATTTTAGAGACATCATGTGCCGGAATTGTTTCAAATTTTGTATTTGAAATTAGTAATGGATACTAATGTCTATGCCAGATAATTGTCTGTGCAGGTCCACGTTTTATAACACCCATGGTACCTCCCTATATTCGATATTTTGATGATTTTAGCTACATTATAAACAATTTTTTTCCAGTTTCGCCTTTGAATATTGTAATAGCTTATGACAAAATTTGGCTATACAGGTCCGCGTCGTTGTATAGACCATAATATACGGCTACATTTGGTATTTTTAATATTTTAACAGAATTTTTAACGGATTTTATTCCTTATTTTATTTATTTTTTTTTTCAAAAATTGCTAAATTTGTACCGAATGGTGAAGGGTATTTTAAGTTCGGCCCAGCCGAACTTACAACTTTTTTACTTGTTTTTGGTTTAAAATGTTGACCTTTTGTGGGAGAGGTACAGAGATAAGAGAATTATTATTGTCCATTTTCGATTCGGACCAATCGATTTTTTGGTGAAAATATTACGATGTACGAAGTTTGGGCCAAATAGGATACTACCTTGCAGAGTTATCGGACGCTCAGACAGACAGATGGTTAACTAGGATCTAAATCCGTTGTTTCGATGTGACACATTCGGCCATATCAAATATAGACGTATGGCTGAGGCTAAAAAAAAAAAAAATACCCGCAACCCTTCGTTCGTCAAAAGTTCACAAAAAACCAGTAAAAAGCTGTTCGTCGGCCGGACCGAAGTTTGAATACCCTTCACCATTTGGAACGAATTTGGCAATTTTAAAAATAAAAATAAAATCCATTAAGAATTCTGTTAAAATCTTAAAAATACCGAATGTAGACGTGTCTATACAACGACGTGGACCTACATAGACAACTTTTTTCATAAGCCATTACAATATTCAAATGCGAAACTTGAAAAAAAAAAAATCGGCGAATAATGTAGCTAAATTTATTAAAATTCTGGATATAGGGTTATACCAAAACGTGGACCTGTACAGACAGTCTTCTATCATAAGCTTTGGTATCCATTACGAACTTCAAATACGAAATTTGAAACGATTCCGGTGAATAATGTAACTAAAATCATCAAAATACCAAATATAGGGAGGTACCATTGGGGCTATACCAAAATGTGGACCTGCACAGACAATTTTCTATCATAGGCTTTGGTATCCATTACGAACTTCAAATACGAAATTTGAAATGATTCCGGTGAATAATGTCGCTAAAATCATTAAAATACCGAAGATCGGGAGGTACCGTTATATGAGGGCTATACGAAGACGTGAAACTGCACAGACAATTTTCTGTCCCTGTATTCATTACGAACTTCAAATACCAAATTTGAAACATTTCCGGTGAATAATGTTGCTTAAATCGCAAAAATACCGAAAACAGGGAGGTAACATTTTATGGGAGCTATACCCAAACGTGGACCTACATGGCCCATTTTCAATATCAAAAGTCCAGCAGACATAATATACATTTGAATAAAATTTTATCAACCTACCGTACTTCGTTCGGAAACTAGAGTGTTTTCCGCAGACGGACGAACATTGCTAAATCAACATAGAATTTTATGGTGATCAAGAATATACAGGGTGAGATAAAAAAAACTGCAAAAAAGTCAAACGCCATAATTTTTACATTTTATTGAATGAAAGCAAAAAATGTCGGAAATAGCATCAAATTTTAAAATAAGTTTAGATTTGTTCGAATTGGTCACCTTTGGCACGAATTATGGCCTTCGAACGGCCAATGAAAATGTCACATGCTGCCCGAATGTTGCTGTGCGGTATTTTGGCCCATTCCCGGCGAAGCGCTTGCTTGAGGTGATCGACACTTTGGTATTTTTAGTGTCAACCTTAGTTTCCAAAATACTCCAGACACAATAGGCCAACGGAGAGAGACCACCATGTACAGTATCGGTCGACTCCATCAAGTATCTCCCCCCAAAAGGTCAAAATTTTGAATTATGACATGCGTGAAATTTGGACTCTTTGTCGAGGCAGTACCAGTACCATTAAAGTTATAATTATTCCAAATTTTGACTCTTTGTGGGGGAGGTACTTGAAGTCCATTTTCGCACCTGACATATTAGGATTTTCAAAGTTGGAGTAAAATCGGATCATCCTTTCATTTTCTGTGCAGTAAAATATTTTCTTTGAAAATTGGGATGTACCAGAATGAGTGGGCCGATATTTCCCATCTCTGATTTCGATCTAAGTTTAATAATAACATTACGATGTAGCACGTTTGGACTAAATCGGATACTACCAGCCAGCTAGACGGTCGTACGGAAACCGCTAAATCGACGCCAAGTGTCCAGAAACGGCCCAAAGAGACCCAGGGTCCAAGACCGTTATTTCGATGTGACACGTTTAAGCCGTATCAAATGATATATACCCTCTGGCTCAATGAAAATTGTACCTATTCGATCTCAATGCAAATTTTCAAACCTTTATTTGTAGCTGATAGCTCAGGCTATCAAGATCTTACCAGTTGTTCAAACTCCGTGCAGTAGCAATTTGTACTTTTTGTACCATTTCGTACGAATTTCGAAATTCGATTTAATTTACATATGATTCGGTTAAGAGATTCTGTATAACATTAAAGAGGTTATACTTCCGGGTACACTTCGTATTACATCGATTAATAATATTCTCTTCAAAATTTTGCTCTTCAGTGTAACCGACAACTTTTTTCCTATTTGAACTTTGCTAATTTATTTTGAATTTTTCTCAGGAATTTTTGCTGATAACAAAATTTGCGATGTTGAAAAATCGAGATGTGCAAAAAATATTTTTTAATCAGTGTATGAAAGATTCAATTGTCGATTAGGGTCAGAAAATGATTTATTTTATTGACAATTTTCATTTACTGGTCATCAGTTCCAAGGAGCATTTTCAAAAAGCAACAACAGTTATTAAGTGACGGCAGTTCATTATCGGAAAAAAATAAATATGTCTTTCCTTGCAAAAATTGTCCTTGTCGTTTTCATGTTGGTCTGCTGTTTGCAGGTAAGAATTTGAAATAAAATGGAATTTCAAGGACATAAAATAGAAATGATTTATAATAAAATTACAATAATTTATTTTAATTTATAAAATTTAGTAATAATTTAATATTGTATTATTTTTTTTTTTTTTTTTGAATTCTTTGAAGTTTGTCTTTATGGCCCGTTTGAGACGTGAGGACACCTCAGCTGATAAAGCAAAATCTGTGGATAGTATAGATATCAATGCCTTGGGCAACATGATCTTGGATAAATTGAAGGATAGCTTAAAGAATGGCGATGAAACGTTGAAGGTAAAATTTTTGAAATTGTTCAAAATGAAAGATTGATTTTATTATTTTGTATAATTTTTAGAATATCCTTGATGTCGCCACTAATTCATTCCAACAATATGCTAATAATGCAGCAGCTGCTGCTGCTTAAGTTGTGTGATCGTGAGTGATCTTAGAAATGTAAATTGTGGAAATGCCTAAAAGTAGGCTTTATTTTTTGATTGAAGTATTCAACGATTTAAATGATCTTCAATACAATTGATCTTTAATATATTCAATAAAAACCTATTAAATATTGATTTTTCAAACAAGAATAAAAAAATGCTCAGTTTAGGAATTAAGACAAAGTGGAATTGAATATTCAAATTATCGGTTACAACGAAAACTTGGTGAGCATCTATGTTACTTAGACTTTAGCATTAGGGGCTTAAACAATTGATATTTTCTAAGGAAATTATTTGCCTTAGTTAGTATGTATAATTTTTTACAAAATTTTTTTTTATTGGAGTAAACTTAGAACTTAATTTTGGACCTATGGATAAAGGTAGTATTAGTGGAAATTAAAATAACTATGGAAACAGCCAATAATTTCCAGATACAAAAATTACCAATTTTGAATTTGATTAAAAATCCGATAAATCATATTTGAGCAAAAAATTAGAAATATTTTTTTTTTAGTGTGGCTTGGATTTTTGTCCACCTCTGTTCTGGCCCTTTTTTCGTTTTTTCAATTTTTGCGCTTCCAATAGAGCCAGGGCCTCGGCTTCAGCTTCCTATACCCCAAAAACAAAAATCATTGAATTAAGATAAGAGATTTGAAATCATTTTAATTTGGAATACCTGTCTCTTCAATTCCGCTAGCTGACGTTCACGTTCCTCCTTTTCAAGACGTTTTTCAATTTCCCGATGAAATCTTTCAATTTCTTGGAGATGCATTTTCTTTGCATCTCGCAGCTTATCTATTTGGGCTTGAATGTAATTGTTCTTATTTTCCATTACCTCAAATTCGTTATCGAAACGTTCCTGAAGTTCATTGATTCGTCTTTTGTATTGCTACAAATGGAGAATTTGGAAGTTAAAAAATTGGGTACTTAATGCTGTATTATGAAATTAAGCAAACATATAAGATAAAATTTTGGAATTTTGAATTTGGATCACTGTTTGCCGGCAGGAGTGACTTATGCATGAACCAAAACGGCACAAAAAGTACTCAAATGGTACTTAATAAAACAATAAAACCCACAAGGTCACATTTTGATGTGCAGGCTTTAAGACACGTCTGCATTTTATAAATTTCGACAGAAAATTGTACAAAAGTCCAAAGGTATTCTTCTAAGGAATACAGTTTACGCGGATTATTCAAAGAATATTTTTCCATGGAACCTTAGCTTCACCAACGTGGATTTTTTAAAGAATATTTTTCTATGGAACCTCAGAGCCCTCAGAGTTATTAACGTGGGTGTTAATAACAACCATGAGACATGTCTGCACTTTATTAACATAGACCAAAAGTTTTATAGCAAGTACCAAAGGTACTAAATGCTGTACGATGGTACTTAATGAACTGAAAAAGCATGATTCGTGAAATTTGCAACTAAGGTCCCAGTTATTGTTCAGGATTGAGACATAACTATATTTTGGAAGATTCGTACGATAGTGTTTAAAAAAGTTACTAAATGTACAAAATGCTGTAGCATTTTACTTGTTGAATTTACATAACTATAATTTAAAAAATAAACATAAACTATAAACTATGCAGAATCAACGCCCCGACGAAATGGCTAATGCTATAACTTGAAATGTTGTACGAAAGCTTATCTTTATGTAATTGCCTGGGTTTTTGGAAGACCGTACTAAAAGGCTACGAAAAGCACTAAAATGTACTAAAAATTTAATAATTTGTATGGGACAAATAGAATGAGCTAGAATTCCTATATTTGAAATGAGAGTCACTGCTGGAGCGCACAATAGATGTACTAAAGGGTTTTTGGAAATTCGAAAAATTCTAAAATTGTACCAATTGGTATTATGTGAACGGAGAGATAAAAACTTGACATTTGGTATAAGAATCACGATTGAAAATTAAGTTTGATATATGAAGGTGGTTTTGGAAGTGTGTACTAAGTGTGCGAACTGTACAAAATAGTACTAAATTTTGCAACAGTTTGGTCAAGGGTGAACGGATGAAACTGGAATTTTTAAAGTTTGTTTGGGGACCCCAATTTTTATTGGTTGTACATTTGTGATAAAGAGGTGGTTTCGGAAATGTGTACTACAAGTGCAAGAAAAGTACTAAATTTTACTATATTTGGTACAATTTGGTATTTGATGCATTTTGGTCTTGAGTGAGTGCCCAAAGTATGAAATTTGTTATTAGAATCGATGTTCATGTGAAGCCTGGGCGTATGGAGGTGGTTTCGGAAATGTGTACGAAAAGTACTTAGTTTGGAACTGTGTTTTATAATTGTTCGAAAAGTACTAAATGGTACTTAGTTTGGTACAGTTTTGTTTGGTTAAATGAAGCTGGAATTTGAAAACTTTGTATTGGGTTCCCCGTTGGTGGCAGATTTTTGATAAAGAGGTAGTTTCGGAAATGTGTACTACAAGTGAACGAAAAGTACGAAATAATACTATATTTGCTACTAAGTGAACAGATAGTGCTTAAAATCTGAAAATCGGTATTAAGGTTGTTGTTCATGAGTAGCCTTAACACAGAGAGGTGGTTTTGGAAACGTGTACTACAACTTTAAGAAAAGTAATAAATGGTACTAAATCTGGTATTGGGTGACGGAATAGAGTTGAAATCCTTAAATTTTGTATAGATGTCTCCGTTGATGTCTGAGGTTAAGAAATGTAGGTGGTATTGGAAATTTGTACTACAGGTACACGAAAAGTACTATATAGTATAATATTTGGTACAATTTGGTATTGGCTGAACAGACATTGGTTTCGGAATTGTGTACCATAATTGTACCAAAAGTACTAAATTGTACTAAATTTGGTATTGAATGAAGGAATAGAGCTGGAATCCCGAAATTTGGTATTGCGATAACAGTCTAGGATTGAAAAAATGGAACAGTTTTGCAAATGTGCACTCCAATTGTTCGAAAAATATTAATCGTAGAAAAAATTTGGAATGGCTTAATTATATTTTCAAATAATTATTAGAGCCATTAACACGAATTCTTAAAGAATTATCAGAGTCTTCGATTTTTTAAATATTTTTCCAAGGACTATCAGAGCCGGCAACACATTTTTTAGGTTATTTTTTGAAGAACTTTTAGAGCTACCATAGTAGATTTTTAGTTATGTATATTAAGTACAATCGGAGTCATCAACTTGGACTTTTTAGAATATTTCTTTCATTTTCCCAAAGAATGTCAGGGCTTACAACGTCGATTTTTTACAATATCTTTGAAGGACTATAAGGGCCATCAATGTGGGTTTTTAATACAAATATATTCCAGAAGAAGCATAGACGTCAAAGTGGATATTTTTATAATATTTTTTCAAGGGCTATCAGAGCCATCGACGAGGATTTTAGAAGAATATTTTTTTGAGGACAATGAGAGCTATCAAAATGATTTTTAAGGATCATTAGAAGCATCAACTTGGATATTATTAAAATATTTGTTAAGGTATACCAGAGCCAGCAACGTTAATTTTTTTAAAGAATATTTTTAAGAGCATTTTTTTAGAATATTTTTCCAAGCTCATGGTCCTTGGATCTTGGATTTATGTTTTAAATATTTATTAAACGACCATCAGGGCTATCAACGTGGCTATTTGTGGAATGTAGAATAGATATTCAGTGGCATCGACTTACAATTTTTTAAAAATAAAAAAAAAAAAAAATTTGTTATTTTGTTTCTCAATGACCACCCGAACAGCCAACCTGGATTTTTCAAGAATATTTTTCGAGCATCCTCAGAATAATCAACGTGGATATCTTAAAGAATATTATTTTAAGGACTATGGAGCAATAAACATGGACTTATTTAAGGGATATTTTTAAGGACCTTCAACATTCATGAACAAGAGTTTTTTTCAGAATATATTTTCAAGCGATCCCAAACGTGGATCATTTAAGGAATATTTTTCAGCACCCATTATAATCCTCAAATTTAACTTTTTTAAGAAGAGATTGTCCAAGGACATCAGAGAGATCGTTTAACAAAATTTCATACTAACCTCCACCAGCGAATAGTAGGTATCCATTATGCTATCGCCGCAATGTTTTTCCGTCATTATTTTCTCATTTAGTTTTTCAATTTCATTCGTATAAGCCGATACGGCCTGATCCATGCGATATTGATTTTGTTTGACGATGGAACGATACCAATTCAATTCATAGCGGACCTCAATGGGATCAAAAACTAAGGAGAATTAATATTAAATTTTACAACTGAAATTATTTTTTTTTCTGGAATACCATCGGAATTCATGAAAATCTCTTCAAGGGCCGTTAAACGTTTTTGCTGCTTTTCCAAAAAATCATTGACATTTTCCACCATGACACGATCCTGGGTCTCCTTGAGGGTTTTTAATAATTTTTCCCTCTCATGTGCAAGAGATTCGGGGAGGTTATGGTATAGTTGGACATTTCTGAGGAGATTTTAATTTAAACCCGAAATTCAAATATTTGTTATATAAATCAATTGCATACCTCAGACACTTCCATAGATCCTCCTCCTTTAAAGACTCATGCTTTTTGGTTTCCACAGCCGCTTCGAATATTAAATCAATGAATTTTTCAATTTCTCTAACATCAGCTGCAACCTTTTGCTTCTCCAAACATGTTGGGTTGCTTTCCATCAGCAACACATCAACCCAAATACAATTTGGCAATTTTCGTCGTTCCAGAAAATCTTCATGTGACCAACTGAAGACATTATGCGAAATCTTTTCCACATCAGACAAATCGTACTCCTGGCAATAATCGATGTTCGTAAGAAATTTCAATTGTTCCCAAATTGTTTGATGCAACCGTTTCAATGCCAATTGTTTGAGGTGAGAGAATGATGGACGTTCGTCAAATAGCTGTTGAATGTGTTTGGGACTAATGGAATCAAAACGCGGTGGCTTGTTTCCTTTGGCGGCGTAGTATTGGCGGTCATAGCGAGCCTTTTCAAGGGGATTTGTTAGGTTTATGTCGTTAGAAGAGGACATGCAACGAAATAAATAAAATTAATGAACAAACTTCAAAACAACTAAAATAAACAAAAAAGAAAAACAGAGTTACCAATCGAATTTTTTAAGAAAATTGTTTCAAGGACTCTCAAATTAAGAAATGCGGCTTTCAAATCATATTTTTCAACCAACGTGGATTTTTTGAAAAATATTTTATCCAAACAACTTGGATTTTTTTAAGATTATTTTTTCAAGGACACTCTGGCCAACCAAATTGGATTTTTTAAAAATATTTTTGCAAGCACCCTCAGACTTACCAACATGGGTTTTTGAGGGGTATTTTTCAAGGACCTTCGGAGTCCCCAACTTGTATTTTTTCTGAATTTTTTTCAAGGACCCATGCAATGTGGATTTTTTTTTTTAAAGAATATTTTTGTCAGTGACTCTAAGGTCAACCAACGTGGATTTTTTAAAAAGTTTTTTTAAGGAGCCCATAGGCCAACCAACATGGATTTTTATGGAATATTTTTATAGGATTCTCAGGCTAACCAACGTGATTTTTAAAGGAATACATCATCGTGGGTTTTTGAAGAATATTTTCAAAGACCTTTGAAGTCTCCAACGTGGATTTTTAAAGACTATTTTTCAAGGTCCCTCAGACAAAGTAACGTGGAATATTTGAAGATTTTTTCTCAAGGACTATCAGAGTCATCAAAGTGGATTTTTTAAAGAATATTTTTCAAGAAACATCAGGCTATCCAAAGTGATTTTTTTTTTAAATATTTTTAAGGGTCCTCAAGTCAACCAAAGCGGAACAAACGTGGATTTCTTAAAGAATATTTTTTCAAGGACCTTCAGACCAATAAACGTGGATTTTTTAAAGAATATTTTTTCAAGGACCTTCAGACCAATAAACGTGGATTTTTTAAAAAATATTTTTTCAAGGACCTTCAGACCAATAAACGTGGATTTTTAAAACAATATTTTTTCAAGGACCTTCAGACCAATAGACGTGGATTTTTAAAACAATATTTTTTCAAGGACCTTCAGAGCAATAGACGTGGATTTTTTAAAGAATATTTTTTCAAGGACCTTCAGACCAATAAACGTGGATTTTTTAAAAAATATTTTTTCAAGGACCTTCAGACCAATAGACGTGGATTTTTAAAACAATATTTTTTCAAGGACCTTCAGAGCAATAGACGTGGATTTTTTAAAGAATATTTTTTCAAGGACCTTCAGACCAATAAACGTGGATTTTTTAAAAAATATTTTTTCAAGGACCTTCAGACCAATAAACGTGGATTTTTTAAAGAATATGTTTTCAAGGACCTTCAGACCAATAAACGTGGATTTTTTAAAGAATATTTTTTCAAGGACCAATAGACCAATAAACGTGGATTTTTTAAAGAATATTTTTTCAAGGACCAATAGACCAATAAACGTGGATTTTTTAAAGAATATTTTTTCAAGGACCAATAGACCAATAAACGAGGATTTTTTAAAGAATATTTTTTCAAGGACCAATAAACCAATAAACGTGGATTTTTTAAAGAATATTTTTTCAAGGACCAATAGACCAATAAACGTGGATTTTTTAAAGAATATTTTTTCAAGGACCAATAGACCAATAAACGTGGATTTTTTAAAGAATATTTTTTCAAGGACCAATAGACCAATAAACGTGGATTTTTTAAAGAATATTTTTTCAAGGACCAATAGACCAATAAACATGGATTTTTTAAAGAATATTTTTTCAAGGACCAATAGACCAATAAACGTGGATTTTTTAAAGAATATTTTTTCAAGGACCAATAGACCAATAAACGTGGATTTTTTAAAGAATATTTTTTCAAGGACCAATAGACCAATAAACGTGGATTTTTTAAAGAATATTTTTTCAAGGACCAATAGACCAATAAACGTGGATTTTTTAAAGAATATTTTTTCAAGGACCAATAGACCAATAAACCTGGATTTTTTAAAGAATATTTTTTCAAGGACCAATAGACCAATAAACGTGGTTTAAAAAAAAAATATTTTTCAAGGACCTTCAGACCATTAAACATGGATTTAAAAAAAAATATTTTTCAAGGACCTTCAAACCATTAAACATGGATTTAAAAAAAAAATATTTTTCAAGGACCTTCAGACCATTAAACATGGATTTAAAAAAAAATATTTTTCAAGGACCTTCAGACCATTAAACATGGATTTAAAAAAATATTTTTCAAGGACCTTCAGACCATTAAACATGGATTTAAAAAAAAATATTTTTCAATGACCTTCAGACCATTATACATGGATTTAAAAAAAAATATTTTTCAAGGACCTTTAGACCATTAGAAGTGGATTTTATAAGGAATATTTTTTGAGGACTTGCAGACCAATAAACGTAGATTTTAAAAAAAAATATTTTTCAAGGAACCTCACGTCTACCATGGCGGGTTTATGAGGATTACATTTCAAGGACTATCAGGCCAATCAACATGGACTTTTTTAAAGATTTTTTAAAGGACAAACAAATCGGATATTTTTAAGAATATTTTTTCAAGGACCCTCAGGTCAAACGTGGATTTTTATAAAATATTTATTGCAAGAACCCTCAGCCAAATAATGTGGATTTTCAAAGAATATTTTTAGAGGACCCTAAGGCGAAAAAACTTAATTTTTTTAAAGAAAAATTTTTTTTCAAGGACCAGGAGTCCATGTTGGTTGGTGTCTTTTAAAGAATAATTCTTTAAGGACTCTGAGACACCAACGTGTGTTTTTTTCAAGGACCCTTAGAGTCTCCTATATGGACTTTTTAAGAAACCAATTTGAATTTTTTAAAATATACTTTTCCCTCGGTGCAAGGAACCTCAGGCCAACCAACGTGGAATTTTAAAGAATATTTTTCAAATTTATTTTGGACTAATATTTTTTTTTATTTTCATTTCAACCGAGGTAGCAACAGTGACCTTAATTTCAAATTTCGGTATTTTAGCTCCGTAATTTTCCCCATTACCAAATTTAGTTTACAATTATAGTACGTATATCCAAAACCAGCTCCTTCTCTCAACCTCACACCAACCGTGACATCCATTTACAATATTGGGATTTAAGCTCTATCCCTTTAAGCAATACTAAATTTAGTACTTATCGAACAACCATTTGGAAAACAACCTCCATATCTCAATTCCAGATACCAAGAGAGATATCAATCTCAAATTTGGGGATTCCAGGACTATCACTTTACCCAATTTTGTGCCACTTCGTACTATTCGAGCAATTATTTTACACATTTTTAAAACCCCCACAATATCTTAACCACCGACACCAACAGAGAGGTCAATATCAGGGATTTAGGGATTCTAGCGCTATCCTTTCACCCAATACCAAACTTATTACTATTTTGTACTTTTCGTACAAATATAGGACGGCTACACATAAACAGCATCAGACCCTAATACGAAAATTTCAGATTTCAAGCACTATTTTATCACCCATTACTAAATTGTGCGAAATATAGTACTACTTAGTGCACAAAAGATACACTTGTAGTACACCTTTCCAAAACCACTTTTTTATCAAAGTCCTACCACCAACTAGAAACCCAATACAAAAAAAAATCAAATTCAACTGATCACCCTCAACTAAAGTGTTCCAAATTTACCAAGGCTATAACCACCGAATTGTAAAAGGGTATTTTTTAAGGACTCTTACTGCATCATCTCCACTTTACCCAACAAATTTGAAAAAAAAACGTTTAATCAACACCTACAAAAATATTTGTTAATTGTCTTAACACTTAATTATCACGTTGAGACACATCATTAATTACTAGGCCCGCAAAAAAATCGCTGAGTATGTCCTTGCCATTAACACAAGTTTTTAACTAATTTATCATTTCACACTAATTGTGTCCTGACACAATATATATCCACACCGTTTTCACCTTCTAAGGCATGGAAGATGGCAAATATTTGTTGCATGCAATAGCAAACAGCGATTCAAACTTTAACAGTAAATTTTCTAAAGCACATTTTTTTCTGTTCCTCTAAACTCTAGTCGCCAACAAAGCAGCATTCTTCCTCAACCACAATTTGGAGCAAGCAACATTTGCGACATCGCTCGCTGTTGCTTCACTCTTTTAATGATGACATCATC